TGGTGATGTTTTAATTACAGATTAAAAAGAAGGAAATTGCAGTGGATTAAATGTATAGCTTTTGTATTTACATTTCAATAAATATCCATTGTAACTTGATAAGATGATTTATTTTATGTAAACATTGCAAAGCAAGGTGTAGCTCCGCTAGATTTATTACTGTGCAGGAGAGTAAATACCTATCAATTATTCTTTTTTCAATATAAAGTTTGCTGAATGTACAAGAAAAGTTTATCACTTAGGATATAGAATTTTTTTAGGGGTCGGGGGAGGGGCTCTGTCAGGAAACCGTTACCTATAAACAAAGACTGTTCTGATTTGATCCAAAAAAAAATCCAGCATAAAACTATTCTTGAACTAACATGGGAAATAAAATGGCTACTGTTTTTAAAATGACAGAAGTATGTTGTTGACAGGATATGAATTATTTTCTATAAATTGTAATTGATGACATGGATAATATCTTCATGTTTCTGAAAAGTAATCTGTTCATGAGGGGAGGGGATAATAAATATAATATCTAACCAAAAAAAAAAGAAACTCAAGTGTTATATTTAACCATAGTTTATATAAAAATTCACTGCCTATCAGGCATGCTTCTAAGTGCTTTACAAATAATAATCATTCAATCTTCAGAATAACCATGTGGCGTTGTTATGCTTATCATCTTCATTTTATAGATGAGATAACTGAGACTCAGAGACATTAACGTATTAAAAGTCACTCTGCTGCTGCCTCAAAAGTGCAAGGTCCCGTGTTTGATCCCCAGTATCACACACACACACACACACAAAAGTCATTCTGCTATTAACAAGAGGAACTAACATTTCAACGCAAGTACTCTGCTTCAAAATCTGTGCTTTCCACCACCTCTATGAAATAGTTTATCTTTTCTTTCCTAGGGAAAACTCCTTCCCACTGGGTAAAGGACTCTTAAACTTCTGAGACTAATTCCCTAAATTCCATTGCCATTTTATTTAAGATTCCATACAGGTTTTCCCCCCCAATTACTGGGGACTGAATCCTGGGGCTTTCCGCTGAGCTACATCCTCAGCCTTTTTCATTTATTTTGGGACAGGTTTTCGCTAAATTGCTAAATTACCCAGGCCATCTCGAACTTGTGATCCTCTTGACTCTAACTCCCAGTGCTGGGATTATAGGTGTGGGCCACCACACATAGCTTCCATCCAGGTCACCTGAATGTGTGTCAATTGCAAATGTGATTTAAAGCTCCCTTGCCACCCTACCCTCTTGGCTAGAGTATAGAGCAGTGATGGTGAACCTTTTAGAGCTTTCAACGGTACAAACAGCCCACAGCGGCACATATGCCATAGGTTCACCAGCAGTGGCCTAGAATCATCAAGTAAAAGGAGCAGGATGGGTCTGCTCCCATTTTGCAGGGCAGAAGGAGGGGTAGGAAGACTGGGACTTCTGTTACAAGCCTCTCTGAGCTTACTGTGTATGGCAAGGTGTGGACAATGTGGCTCCACCCAACCCTGTCAGTAAGAGGCTAGCACTGGTGCCATTAGGACACTTGGCCACATCTTCAGTCTGATCACCAGCCAGTGACATAATGTTGCAGTCCTGAGACATCTGTCCCACTTCATTCCCCACTGTGCTACTACCTGCAAGACTCAGCTCCTTTACGTCATCTGTTCTCTGTGGCAACTCATGCACCCTTGGGTTTATGTGGGATCACTCTTCCCATATACTTCGGCTGTTATGAAGTAGAGCAAGTGGTTCTGGTCCCCTGTCTGGTAAGTACACATATGCTCCTCCAACACTTTTCTCCCTTGCTCTGGTAGCACAGGGAAAGGTGGGCAAGTCAAGTGACTAAGCAAGCACACAGTCAAAGATGAAAATGCCAGTCTCTCTTTCCAACAGTCTTGTCCAAATTCTAGGGGTGATTATCTTAGAAGCTCTCTCATTAGCCTTTAAGAGTAAAGTAGAGGAAAGAGCCTCTCCACAAACACTCCATGGCCCTGAAGGGTGACTTCCTTTCCTTCCCTGTCCTCTGTGAAACAGAAACCCTAGGTCCTGAGCTACAGTAGTATTTCCCAACTCTGCTTCCTGGAACATCAGACCTGTGACATGTTCCAACAATACAGGATCTTGCAGCTGAATTCTTTTGGAATGAGATGCATACTCTATTTCTTTTGAAGAGTCTCAATTTTGTTAAATTTGTATTCTTTCATCCAATCCCCTAACATCCTAAAGGCTCTAAAAATTCCCACAGTAAAGATGGCTCAACTGGCTTTAACTTATTTGACTATGAAATTCATTTTGCCCCACACATATTACTGAACCAGTCACAGGCAAGAAGAATCCTTGCCCTGGGCCCCTCGTGAAACAAGACCTCCCAAAAAGCTGTTCTACCTCAGTTTCCCTGCAACTCAAACCCAGTGGTGACTGTATCAAATCACACTGAAGGCATGTGTGGCTCAGCTGCCAGTGTAGATGATCAGCAGAGGCTGGAAGGCAGGAGGAGATCCAAGTGAAAGGTGGGCCTAGGTAAGAGGAAAGAAAAATTAACAAATCAAAATCCTTCTCAGAGAGCTAGAAAACAATACATCTTTGTACGAACAAATTATCTTTTCCAGGTAGGACCAAGCTTCCTTTTTTCCCCTTCTTGTGTATTCCAATCTTGGTTCTGGTGTGAATTAGCAACAGTTGCTCAGGGTGGCTGAAAAACACTTTGCAATACTAAACAATTACAATTAAATGTGTATAAACACACACACACACACACACACACACCTAGAAGTACCATGTACTATATGATGTCTATTCTTTGCATTGGCAACCAAATGGACATTTTCAGCTTAAAGGGCAAATAATTTTATTTTCATGAAAATATGTAAAATAAGGTTTAATTAAAATTAAAACAGGGCCGAGGATTTAGGGCAGTGGTTCTGGCGCCTGCCTCGCAAGCGCTAGGACCCAAGTTCGATCCCTGGTACC